GTGTGTGTGTGTGTGTGTGTGTGTGTGTGTGTGTGTGTGTGTGTGTGTGTACTTGGAGTCAGCAATTGTGAATATAATTTTGTAACTTACTTCCACAGGGATTAAGCACACACTTCCTGTTTTAAGCTTTATCTGCGCTGTTGAACCAGATCCATTACAAATAAACCTGTTCAAGGCCCGGCCACCTTTGATCCGCACATCATGTCTTCCACAGGTGAGTTATGGGAATGAATATATTCAAGATGTGTCACATTAACCACTTTTATCATGTACAGCCTAGCCACAGGGAAGCTTTTAATTGGCTTTCCAGGGACATGTAAACATCAGCTCACGTATACAGCAGCAAACATCAGAGGTGAGGAAACGGGCTGAAAATGGGTGAAGAGGAGCATGTCCTCGGTAACGTAAATCCAAACTGTCTGATTTCATGTTTTAATGCTGGGGGAGCTTCCTTGCTTCAACACAGAGGAGACAATTGAAGACCTCGAGGCTGTAGCAAAAGTATTCAGGCATGTTTTTTCTCACATAAATTGTAACAGCCTGACAAGCACTGAAAGATGTTTTTCAGCCCTCCAAAAAGCGACAAAGTAAAATTGTGTAAGAGTGTGTATATGATTATTGTCGAATAAAGAATAAATACATGCTGATAGATGTTTGGACAAACTTAGCTCGCTGTTAGTCTGTTTGCCTCTCCAACCCCGGACACAGTTTCCTCTGCAGCTCCACTCCTAATCTCTGCCTTTAACGTCTGTTTACTCTGCTGCTTTGTGGGCACACAGAAATATCTGTTTGTTTTTTGGCAAATCAAATAAAAAGAAATGAGCCACGACAGACTTTATAAAATAAAACTGGGATGAGCTAAAGAGTTTTAAATGTTGATTTCAGCAGGGTGTGTTTCTTCTCTCATATTCTCAGGTTTTTTTGTTTGCTTTCTGTTAATCACCTCATTTGTTTGAAGAGTGGCGAACCATGTAGCAGTCAGCTATGATAACAGACAGCGCTTCTAATGAAGGCAGATGTTTTAGGTGTGTGCTAGACATCCGTCGCCCTAATGGAAGCAGTGGGGGAAAACAACATTACATCTACAGAGAAATAGGTTTTATAGCTGCCTTTCCACCAGGGAAATTTAGGAGGAGTTTGTTTTAATACAGACTTTCTGCACAGATCCTGTTAATATGTGAGGAACCAGGTGCCAGACCCAAAACAACTGTTGTTTTGTTTACAGACGCTTCACAGTGGCCGAGGTATGGAATGGTTTTGTACCATCAAGTTGAGGGCGGGTGACTGACAAGCATACATTTTAATCTAAGCAAACTATATTTTGACATTTGTGTGATCAACTCTCATCTGATCAATCAATCAGTCAACCAACCAATCAAACTGTTAAGATTTGAAGAATTCTTGCTAATTGTTTTTTGAGTTGAGGTCTTTTATTTTTTAATTCATTTTTAAATTTTTTAAGTTGTTTTGATTTTTGTTGTGTTTTTACTTTTCCTTTGAACATATTTTGGGTACAAAAATGGGCAGATATAAGATTTATTCTTCTTCTACTGCCTTTCATTGTATTTGATTTTATTTTTTATTGCATGTTTTTTGTACTTTGTTAATCTGTGTTACAAATGAAATGAATAAAGAACTACTATTACTACTACTACTACTACTACTACTACTACTACCACTACTACTACTATTACTACTACTAATAATAACAATAATTGTTCAGACTAGAAGCCTGAATAATACGCAAAAAAAATGTTCCGCCAATGGTGCATTCCCAATTTGTGGTTATTTTCTCCCTTTTTATAGCCTACCAGACCATAATAGTCTGTTCAAACAATTCAATTGATTGTGTTTTTTTTTTTTTCAATTGACACCTCTTTTTACCAACTGGGTTCATCTATAGACTCTCCAGAGCACAAAATGTGTGGCAAGCCCCTCATGTCCCACATGTATGTACACATGATTGATTGAATTGGCCAATCAACTCTGAGCTTCATTCTGACACCACAGCTGTGTAGCCAATCAAGTTATCTTTTATTCAATATGTAGTTTTGGACATTTAAATAAAATTAATGTTTATAGTGTATTTTAACTTCAATAACTAAATATAAGTTACAGTTGTAATTTAATGTAATACAATGTAATTTAATTTTGGTTGGGGTTAGGCCCTGCAGGTCAACAGGTTAAGATCTCAGTTAAACATTTATTTTTCAGATTTTGCTCTGGCACCAAGAAGGCAGGCTGTATATTAGCAGCAGCTTCCACTCAAAAGTAGGTCGTGCGCACCATTTAGTAAGTCGTCCGCACCACTTAGTAAGTCGTGCGCACCAGTTAGTCATGCGCACCACTTATTAAGTCGTGCGCATCACTTTGTAAGTCGTGCGCACCATTTAGTAAGTCGTGTGCACCAGTTAGTAAGTCGTGCGCACCAGTTAGTAAGTCATTCCCCCCCAGTTACTAAGTCGTGTGCACGAGATAACTCACAGAATATCTTTCAGATCATTTTGGACTAGCTGTGTTTATTGAAATGGAAATATGTGACATAACCAGTGATGGGAATAACGGAGTATAAATAAACGGCGTTACAAACGGAGTTATTTTTTTCATTAACGGGTACTTTAAGTAGTTACTATGTCTATCGTTACAACGCCGTTACCGTTACCGACTACTAAAAGGGGTACGTTACTTTGTCTTCTGCCCTGGCTCCCTGACTCTCGTAAGCTGTTTACTTTTTACCTTGGTGAGGGTAGGAGGGAGGGGTGAAACAATCACATAAAGKATGATGATGATTGGCTAAGATAGAGTAACAGGTAGAGGTAAGCCAATCAGAGGCTGTGCTGTTCAGTTCACTCACAAACCACATGCTTCAGCTCCAAATCTGAAAAGTTAGTAGAAGTAAGCTGCAGCAATGGCGAGTCTGGAGGGAAAGTTGGCATTTTCAAAGTGGAAATACAGACACTACTTTACTCTACTTGAGGTAAAAGGCAAGAACGTGYATGTGAAGTGTACATTATGTCCCGGAGCGAAGTGTTTGTCTACGTCCGTCGTAAGCAACTCTAATCTGATGAAGCATCTCACAACTGCACATGGTTCAACAAAACTGGTGGCTAAAAGCACCGCTGTTGACAGTATTGATGACGATAGCAAACCAGGTGTGGCTAACGTGAGCGCTGCTAACAAAGAAGGATGCGGAGCTACGCCGTCCAAGCAGTTAAAGGTGGAYTTTTTTGCTCCAGCTTCACAGAAACTTGTGACGCAGACTGAACTAAACAGAATGATAGGCAGGTATGTTGTTGAAAACATGCTCCCGTTATCAACAGTTGACTCAGACACCWTCTCCTCCAAGTTTGTTTTGAAAGCCATTACAGAACGGGAGCATCAGTTCCTCAAGGAATACTGTATGGTAATGAAGCCACTAACAGTAGCCTTAGACATACTTCAGGGAGAAGACAACTGTTTCCATGGCACACTCCTACCCACACTGGAGACATTGATGTTGAAGACCTTGGACCTGAAGAGTGGTCTGCAAATCCTCGTTGACCTTCCAGAGGCAATTGTTACAGTAAGAACGTTGGTTACGTATTGTAACCCCAGATTCTATGAGTGTAAGCGCAGCCCTCTAAGGCTATCGCAGATGGGT